CACATTGCGGCCCCCGAGTTCTTAGCCAGCGCTGCATCAACTGAAAGACGAGGCATTCAGCAGGCTGAAGATGTTAATACTGGCAAAGCCGTCTCCGTCCGCACAGGTAAATCTCGTAAAATAACGTCGCTTGCTCAGTGGGTTGAATGCTACATTCGCTGGTGTACCGGAATCTTTATGGTGTGTGGCAAAAAGTCGGAGGTGAACTCTCTGGCCATGCTCAAATACTTATTGAAGGTCATTCAGCTCGCTGAGAAACGAAACGTTCAAGCAGCTGTAATCTATGACCATAAATACCGCGGTTCCTTAATAGGATACCACCAACAAGGTCACTCGATTGCTGACGTTCTGGAGAAGGATTTAGACCCATCTATGTACATTTCTGCCCAGTTTGGTGGTTTAGAGGATACTGATCAAATCTTCGGTAACGACGAGAATAAGGAGTCGAAGAAAGATTCGAAGAGAAAACTCTTCGAGCGTGGTGCGTGTATCTTCTACCAAACTGGATCTTGCAACAGAGGGGAAAAATGTCCCTATAAACATGTCTTGTTGAAAGACACAAAGAAAGGTCGCTCCTTCTTTTACCCTGATGTGAAGAGCCGTCCTTCTGAACCTCGCAGGTCGGAGTCAAAAAACTAGATTCGGGCCCTAAAGCCGAATCAGCAGCTAAGGGGGCCCCTTTATCACATTCCAGACTGGAATTTCCAGTCTTGTCTCTGAGTTTGTAAATCACGGTTTAAATGCACTATCTGAATCGGTCGAGGATGGTCTACATAAATTTACGTCCGGTGCTGGTCTGGATTCCCCTAAACCCTGGGACGAGGTTGCTCCCATCAACGTTGATAAGGCTCACAAGCTTTTCAAAGTCCTTACATCTGCTATCTCTGATACTGGTCTCGACACGTTCCTCAAAGATTGTGTCTCTAAGAATTTTCCCCCGGAGGGGGAGAATCAATTCAATAAAATCGTTGAGCGTGCTACGCAAAGCGTGCTAAATCCTGTTTGCTCTATTTTGGAGGCCCAACCAAGCACTTCTGAAGTGAGGTCTCCCCTGAGACCGTCTATTATCGCTTCCCTCTTATCACTGTGTGGCGAAGAGTTCCGTGAGGAATCTGAGATCCTTTCCCAACAGATCAATGAAGGCTGCTCTTTAGGGCAGTGTGAGCCCATTCCTTCATCTCGTCATTGGCCTGAGGCAAAGCCCCGGCGCGCTAGAGAGGTGGAGTTACTACTTGAAAATTACGTCTCAGCTGTTGAAA